CCGATGTATTAGACAAAGAAAATATAGTAATAATGCGCGGGAAAAGACACGTCACGGTGCATAAAAACCACGTGAAAAAATTCCACGAGAATCTAAGTTAAAAAAAAAAAAAAAAATGAATAAAATACGAATATGTAATTAATTAATAAGAAAACTTTTTAGGATCATGATGACGATCGTCATGCTCCAAGTTGCATTGGCACAACCAAAGCCGTATCAAACTTCGAAACTGTCCCAAGAAAATGGGATGTACTTTGAAAATCAGGGACCACTTCGATTAACAAATTCTGATTGGAAATTGATAATATATGTAAAATTAGATAACTTTAATCAACGTACAAAGGAAACTATGTATTTTTACGATAAAACTATAAAATTATGTGACGATTTAACAATAGTATACGAAGGCATGTTTAAAACACTTTGTGAAAATTTTAAGATTGCGTCCATCAGCCTTGAACAGGAAGTTGTAATGGGACAGAATTGCTGATGTTATTTTTCGTTGTATAACGTTTACAAAAACTACTACTCGTGCGCTGTGTAGTAGAGAAACCAGGAAATAGCCGACCGCCGCCGGACACCGGTGCGCAACCCGTCGACAACAACAGAACTAATTGTCGTGAGTACGCCGAAGCAAGAGCCTCATATCGACAACAGATAGCGCGCCACGGGAGCAATATTCACGAACAGACATTTCATTATACTAATTAACAGTTTCATGTTAATTAGTTAATGAAACTAATACTACCAGAAGAAAGGGCGACATCTAAAGTAGAGACTACGCCACTCACATGATGAATCTACATCGCTAAGTTTAACAAACACATCAAAAAGTAACTATGACCGACCGGAGTTCTTATTTGCTGCGACCACAATAACAGCCAGTAAATATACCCCGGGAGCAGTCCCGAAAACAACGTTCCCTCGCTGCTGAGCTCGGATATGGTGTATACCAGGTCAAACGAGCCAGTACGCCGCTATCGACACTGCCGCCGCCACAGTTCGCCGCCGCCGTTGTTCGCTTTTAGTCTCCTATTGAGCTTGGACATGGATAAAACCAGGTCAGACTGAGCCAATACGAGATTTTACCGTCATCGCCGTAATTAAACGTCGCCGCCGCCGTTGTTCGCTTTTAGTCTCCTATTGAGCTTGGACATGGATAAAACCAGGTCAGACTGAGCCAATACTAGATTTTACCGTCGTCGCCGTAATTTAACCGTCGCCGTCGTCACAGTTTGTTTTTGTCTCCTATTGAGCTTGGACATGGATAAAACCAGGTCAGACTGAGCCAATACGAGATTTTACTGCCGCCGCCGTATTGAAACGCTGCCGCCGTAATTAATGTTATTACATCGTGATCGAGCCGTCGCCGCCGACCGAGTAATAATATTCATGGACTTATTGTGAATAACGAGCCACACGCCGTTATCCAATATTGTCATTTTACCGCCGCCGCCGTATTTAAACGCCGCCGCCGTAATTCGTAATATTGTTCTTCGTAATATATCGTGTTGTCGTACCTACCCACCGACCGAATATTATTGGTAAAGTTGTTGTGAATAACGAGTTACACGCCGTTATTCATTTTAATCGTCGTCGCCGGATTCAACGTCGCCGCCGCCGTAATTCTTATTATAACACGTAAATCGCCGTAAACACGCACTCACACATACGCACCACAGTGCAAATCGTATAGTGTATACGCCGCCCGCATCATTTTACCTACTCGTCGCTGGTCAGGACGTGTTGTTGTACCTACCCGCCGACCAGCCATATCAATCAACAACCCAGGGAAGCATCTCGTAAACAATTAGTTCTACGACGACCACTTTCGACTGCAGTCCATCAACGGAGAGCCGTCAGTCAGTTCAACCAGTACGTGTGCTCAAAGATTGAACAGTCCACCAGCAATTCCACCCATAACCAGGAAACCGTGAGTCAAAAAATCTTATACTGTCAAAAACCTATTTCCTTGTTATACGTATTTTGAATTGTACACTGCTTTATGCAGTTAATATTATGTTGAAAAGAAAATATTGTGAAAATAATTAATACAATACGAACAATAAATATCAAAAAAAGTTAATATTATATTTGAATCAAAAATTGTGTTTGCATTCATTTATTTATATTACATTGGCGCTCAACTACAAGGCTCGAAAATAGAAGATAATTCTACTTCGACTCCCAAGATTAAAAAAAAACGAAGATTTTCTACGTCATTTTCTACATCGATTTGCAAAGAAGAAAGCTACATCGTGAACATGGCACCGAAGAAAAATGTAACGGAAGAAACGTTCCAAGCGTTCCAACGTGAGGTGGAGCGAAACAGTCAATACCTAGTCGATCAATTATTGCAAAAAATAGGTCAACTGGAAGAAAAATGCAATAATATGGATGAAAAATGCACAAAAATCGAAAATCAATACAAAAATGAAATTAAAAAATTAAATGAAAATTACTACAGAGAAATACAACATCTGGAACAACAAAATAATGACAACATACAAAATTTAAAGAAAATGTTCGTAGATCAAAAACAAAATACAAACATGATGAACAACGAACATCGAAATTCAAATGTGGAAATATCAAAACCGCTGTTCTATGCAAACAATAAAGACCAGCATCCGATCGAATTTCTACAAAGTTTGGAAGAATATTTTAAAGTCAAGCAAATGAGTAAGGAAGAAAAACTGATCATAATTCGAGACTGCTTGAAAGGGACAGCCAGCAACTGGTATTCAACCGTCAAATTTCAAGTACGTGATTATGCAAATTTTCGTGATATATTCATTGACGAATTTTGGTCCAGACAAATACAGATACAAACCTGGAGCAGCTGTCTCAACACTACGCAGGTACCAGATAATGTCACATATAGGGAACATTTCTCCCAATGGGCAGCCAAACTACGTCACCTACAAGTACCTGAACTATCCGAAGAGGAAATTGTAAGTAACGTGGCAAATCATTACCCAGGGTATCTACGTGCTATATTAGTATCATTACCAGACAAATCGGTAATCAATGCTATGAAGGTACTAGGTGCGGAGGAGAGCCGCAGAAGTAAACCATCGGCTACGGAGAACAACTCTAATAATCAGAAAAACAATAATCAAAACAACAACACTTGGAGCCACAGGGTCCCACAAAATGATTGGAGTCACAGAACACAACAGCGTAACAATAATCAGCCACGGAACAACAGGTGGAATAACAAGGACGAACCACAGTCACAACAACCACCGCCATCACAGTCTCGTGACACTACGCAACAAATAAATCAAGTGACCACCAACAACGACAACAGTGACAGTCCAAGCACGTCACATTCAATCAACCTCATACAGGACAAGGAAGAATCATTCAGTCCATACATTCAATGTTGGATTGAAGGAGAAGAGGTAGAACTATTAGTCGACACAGGGGCGACTATTAGTGTCCTTACCAAAGAAATCGTTGACGTCATAGTGAAAAAGGATCCGACTATTCCACAGCTGCCGATCAACGGAGTACGAATAAGCAATGCAGTCGGGAAACAGATTTGCAAAATCTCCAAACAAATATTTTGCCAATGTCAACTCAATGATGCTGTGTTCCACGCCAACTTCATACAGGTTGACGGACTCAACGAAAAAGGAATTATCGGGGCAGACATACTCAATCAACACAACGCTCAGATAAACTTCCGTAATCACACTATACAATTTGAAGTAGATGATAAACCATACTCAATACCATTTTCAAAAAAATTGCCCAGATCCACGACAATGGGTAGCAACATACAAGAAATAACACTAATTGATCAGAATGAAATGGATGACACCGTCGACATCAGCAGTACGGAGCAAGAACAATTCAATTCTGTCATCAAAAAATATCAACACATTTTTTCCGACAGTCCAGGGAAAATTATCCAATTCCAATGTCAAAAGCGATCAAAACGGATAAAAAGAATTGTCAAAGCATGCGATGTATGTCAAAAGGCCAAATGCAGTAATCAAAGTGCCAGGGGACCAACTATCAGCATCTTACCCGAGAGACCACTGCAAATAGTGTCACTCGACCTCATGGGACCATTGCCGAGGGGACAGCGGGGTGCCAAATACATTCTAGCTGTACTCGATGTATTCTCAAAATACATAAAATTATATCCTATCAAAAAAGCAACGTCGACAACAATATTGAAAAAACTTATCGATGATTACATACCTAAGGTCGGAACGATAGAACAACTGTTAACAGACAACGGAACTCAGTTCCACAGCAAGCAGTGGTTCAAACAACTGTCTGGGCTAGGAGTCCAGATAAAGCACACTACCACCTATCACCCAGAGAGTAACCCGGTGGAAAGGGCGAATCGAGAAATAGGCAGAATGCTCAGAACTTACTGTCACGCCAAGCATACCAATTGGGTGAAATGGATACCCAACATAGAATATTGGATCAATCACTCACACCACAGCTCCACTGGATATACGCCATATCAAATACTATATGGGGAAGAACCAGACACCATAGCACCACCGATCCCGTTCCCAGAATGTGAACAGGAAACAAGTCATGAAGAAATAGTGGAAATGGTAAGAAAGAAATTGAAAACCAAAGCCGCAGAAAGGAATCGCGTAAAGGACCAAGACAAAAGGTTCCCCGCATACCAGCCAGGCCAGCAAGTTCTCATAAAGGAGCATAAGCTGTCCTCAGCTGAAGACAGTGAAATCCACAAATTCTTCCTGCTATACCGTGGACCATACACCATCATTGAAATCGGCAACAACAACACAATCTTGGTTGAAGATGTTGCCAGGCAAGTCATAAGATGCAACGTAAAAAATGTCAAACTATACCACGCATCACCCAAGACGGATGCCAAATTGTGTTTTCCTCCTGACCCAGGAAAATCCTGCGGTCAATCATCCTTTTCTCTCCCACTAAAACAATAATATAATATGATTATGACCATGACTTATTCCTAATTAGGACAAACAGCAGAAGTCATGGAAGCTAAATCATTTAACCTGCTGTCAGAAGAATATGACGACATAGAATATCTCGAACTATTTGGTAGTGAGTATCTGGCCCTAGATAGTGAATACCAGACAGAAGTCTCTCTTCAGAAAATCGCGAAGATAGAATCACCGAGGGCAACCATGAAAGCAAAAGCGAAGTACGAAAGGGAAGTAGCCGCGAAGCTCACAAAGTACTCGCTTGAACCAACCTACAACATACCTGCTTCAGTACGGGCGATCCCAACTCAGCCTATCAAACCCGACGCAGCAGTGAACAAAATCAACCAGCCAACCACCAGCACTGCAGAATTCAACAGAACTACTAGTGCCGGTAAACAGACCACGGGTGCTTCCGAAGTGTCAATCAGCCAGCCGCCAACAACTGAGGAAGACACGCCGCCAGTCAAAAGCAACAACCAGCGTCGCAGGGAGAAATATAAAGAAAACAGAAAACACATCCGTCAACAACGAAAACTTAAAAAATGAAGCAACCACATTCCACTGTCATAATATATGTCTCCTTACTCAAAATTTTTATTCAGCAATTTTTTCGGACAAAAAAAAAAAAAAAAAAAAAAAAAAAATTGATAAATAAAAAAGGGGACTATGTAATGGGACAGAATTGCTGATGTTATTTTTCGTTGTATAACGTTTACAAAAACTACTACTCGTGCGCTGTGTAGTAGAGAAACCAGGAAATAGCCGACCGCCGCCGGACACCGGTGCGCAACCCGTCGACAACAACAGAACTAATTGTCGTGAGTACGCCGAAGCAAGAGCCTCATATCGACAACAGATAGCGCGCCACGGGAGCAATATTCACGAACAGACATTTCATTATACTAATTAACAGTTTCATGTTAATTAGTTAATGAAACTAATACTACCAGAAGAAAGGGCGACATCTAAAGTAGAGACTACGCCACTCACATGATGAATCTACATCGCTAAGTTTAACAAACACATCAAAAAGTAACTATGACCGACCGGAGTTCTTATTTGCTGCGACCACAATAACAGCCAGTAAATATACCCCGGGAGCAGTCCCGAAAACAACGTTCCCTCGCTGCTGAGCTCGGATATGGTGTATACCAGGTCAAACGAGCCAGTACGCCGCTATCGACACTGCCGCCGCCACAGTTCGCCGCCGCCGTTGTTCGCTTTTAGTCTCCTATTGAGCTTGGACATGGATAAAACCAGGTCAGACTGAGCCAATACGAGATTTTACCGTCATCGCCGTAATTAAACGTCGCCGCCGCCGTTGTTCGCTTTTAGTCTCCTATTGAGCTTGGACATGGATAAAACCAGGTCAGACTGAGCCAATACTAGATTTTACCGTCGTCGCCGTAATTTAACCGTCGCCGTCGTCACAGTTTGTTTTTGTCTCCTATTGAGCTTGGACATGGATAAAACCAGGTCAGACTGAGCCAATACGAGATTTTACTGCCGCCGCCGTATTGAAACGCTGCCGCCGTAATTAATGTTATTACATCGTGATCGAGCCGTCGCCGCCGACCGAGTAATAATATTCATGGACTTATTGTGAATAACGAGCCACACGCCGTTATCCAATATTGTCATTTTACCGCCGCCGCCGTATTTAAACGCCGCCGCCGTAATTCGTAATATTGTTCTTCGTAATATATCGTGTTGTCGTACCTACCCGCCGACCGAATATTATTGGTAAAGTTGTTGTGAATAACGAGTTACACGCCGTTATTCATTTTAATCGTCGTCGCCGGATTCAACGTCGCCGCCGCCATAATTCTTATTATAACACGTAAATCGCCGTAAACACGCACTCACACATACGCACCACAGTGCAAATCGTATAGTGTATACGCCGCCCGCATCATTTTACCTACTCGTCGCTGGTCAGGACGTGTTGTTGTACCTACCCGCCGACCAGCCATATCAATCAACAACCCAGGGAAGCATCTCGTAAACAATTAGTTCTACGACGACCACTTTCGACTGCAGTCCATCAACGGAGAGCCGTCAGTCAGTTCAACCAGTACGTGTGCTCAAAGATTGAACAGTCCACCAGCAATTCCACCCATAACCAGGAAACCGTGAGTCAAAAAATCTTATACTGTCAAAAACCTATTTCCTTGTTATACGTATTTTGAATTGTACACTGCTTTATGCAGTTAATATTATGTTGAAAAGAAAATATTGTGAAAATAATTAATACAATACGAACAATAAATATCAAAAAAAGTTAATATTATATTTGAATCAAAAATTGTGTTTGCATTCATTTATTTATATTACAAAGTGACGAGGAAACGAGTTTATATGTTACAATCTATAGATGAAACAGATACAATTACCCGGGTAAGAAGGGGTTTAGTAAATTTAGTAGGTCGAATACAAAAAACATTATTCGGTACATTAGACGATACTGACGCAGAAACATATGATAAACAAATCGAGGAATTACAAACTAGTCGAAATAATTTATTAAAAATAGTAGAAAAACAAACTAGTATATTGAAAGCAACCGAAAATACATTTAAGGAGGCAACCCAAATGGTAGGTCAGATAAATAAACTTAGCACATTATACAATCGAATGGCAACAACGGTAAATCAAACCGTAATCAATTTAGATATCGTAGAAGCAAAAAGTAATATTAACGAACAAATAAATATAATAAATTTAATATTTCAACAGTTAAGTTTCGAAACCGATACAATTTGCGAAGTAATAATAGCCGCACAAGGTGGTATAATACATTCAAGCATAATATCCGCTATGGAATTACGTAAGCAATTAAAAGATATTTCAATGAACGTTCCAAAAGGACAAAGTTTACCGTTCGATTTAAATCAAATATCGTTATATGAACTAAGTAAAATGTCAAAATTAAATATAATTTACATAAACGAAACATTAATATTCGAAATAATAATACCACTAATAAACTCAGTTGATTTAACATTATTCCACGTAATACCACTACCAGTAGTAAAAAATGATCATTATATGCACATAATACCTGAATATGGGTACATAGCCATTTCAAAAACGCATGAATATTATTTAACATTATCGTTTAGCCAGCTACTGATGTGTAGACAAATTAATATGGGAACATTATGTCCGGAAACACAACCATTAAGACTAGGAGCCAGTGAGCTGCCATGTGAAGTAGAACTATTTATTAAACCATCGAGCATACCTAGCACGTGCCCAATACATTATCTAGACATCACTCGTAGTATTTATCATAAACTAAAATATCAGAACGCATGGATATATACAATAAAAACAACGGACAATGTAGCCATCTCGTGCGAGAATCGAGACCAGGCGATGAATATACAATTAAGCGGGATAGGAATATTAAAATTAAACGAGGACTGCAGGGGATACACACCACAAATGGTGCTAACACCGAATAGGCATTTAAATTCGACACATTATAAGGATTTTATATCAAACATAGGCATAACGTCAAATTTGACAATTCCCATTTCCATAAAAAAGAAAATAAGCAATGTCATAACACACACAAATTCTGTAGTAAAACTAACCGACTTGAGTCAATATTCTAAATCCATTGATGAAATAGAACAATTAATACAAGAAGAAAAGGACAAAACGACCACAAGGGATATAACCGATTTTCACACTTATATGTTTTATCTCATAATAATAATAGCATCGGGCATAATTATAATAAAATGTAAAAGAAAAATGAGTAATAATCGATCAGTAAATAGAGTTAGGCGACATTTAGTGTCACTACAGTCAGCTAGAGAAATGGACGAAGTAACACGTTTGTAAGTAAGATCACGTACACAAACACTCTCAATTTCATGTTCAAAATTATGTTCCAATATTAAACACGTACCTTTCCTATTACTAAATAATATAATAATTAATAACCAATCGATGTTAGTATCTTGTCTTGTTCCAGATAAGACAATCACACGGAAAATCCAGATTACTTTTATTATACAACGCGTAAAAGACGTATAAAATACATAACAACAATGCCAGTACGGGAATTCATTCCTAGACGGGTATTATACCTAATGATGTTAGAATATTCGTTGAGGTACAACGATCACGTATACCAGTACACGATAAACAGTGATGGACCTACGTGTCTAAAAAACCATATGAGAGTAGCCAATGAACATTTACCGGTACCTTATACTACAGCGGAAATGCATAGAATTATGGAAATAATTACTATGACTCTCCGATTAACAATTTTAGTACGCGAAATACACGCACCCACATGTCTGGATTTGGCAAATTTAATAATCGAATTAATACAAGCCGCCGAGGCAGCTGAATAAAACTAACATAAGGGATTACATTTTAATAGATAGTAATACTAATATCTCGCAATGTAAAAATATTATCTAAATAAAGTTGTCTCACATTTAATCATTATATATATTTTACAGTGACAAAATCAAATTCATAATAGTGGACTTCGAGTTCACTAGTATAAATAAGACGGATCTGTTACTTATATCGGGGTCATTATCAAACAGTCTCGACAAATATAAGCCAGTTAAACTCGAAGGCAAACCAATCGTGTTAACTACCACCAATAAATTAAAGATGTTACAGCATCGCGAAATCAAGCAGGTAATGCGTAGTGTTGGAAGGATATTTAGGAACAAGCCAGAGAAGTTAATACCTTTATTGGGGCAGTTAGAATCAAGTCTAAAGCTCGAGGGGGCGACAACTCTGTCTACCATATATCTCAACCAATACTTGCATACCGACGGAAGAACACCAATCATTGTTTTTTTCAACGGGACAACCGATAAAAATATAATAACCCGATTACAATTAAATGTAAAGAAAATGTTGGATATCACTTCATATAGTGATAACGACGATAATTATTTCAATTTAAAACTTCTAGATGTAACAGGACCTACCAAAAAATTAATATATTCAACTAAAATAGGTTACTACCAGAAAAACGGAAGAATGCTGAATCTAACGGAAACCCATGATTTAATATGCAAAATAAACCATGATATAACCCATAGCCACGACCCAGTAGCGGATGTAATTATCACCAAATGTTTGTTCAACTATATTATCAGGGATATGGGACCAATACAGTTATACAAACTATGTAAAACAGATAGGTATACAAAAAAATAATCATAGTAATCAAAGAGTGTCAATTCAATAGTGTAGACTATACCTATAACTGGGAAATCAGGGAGTCGATAAGATTCTACACATTTGAATGGACATACTCTAGTAAAGTAATTAAGCTTTCAATTAAAAGTTTTTCCCTTTATAAAAAAAAAAAAAACAAACTCATATAAGACCAATAGATTATAGGATGAATATATAAAATATGTAATAATTATAATGTCTAATTGTATAAATTATAATAGATTAAGTATTTAACCACAAATGTATAGCCACCATGTACTAACACTAGAATAAGAAGGAAAATGTAAAACAAAACAAAAAAAAAAAAAAAATGTATAAATATCTAACAATTATTATGTGCTTAACCCAATGTATCACTATTTTATAATCAGATGTACTAGATTTCTAAATGTAACAAAGTATCACTACTTCATATAACAATGTATCACTATCTTATAACCAATGTATCATATATGTAAAATTGTTATAATACCGTAAAATGTTAAAGATTTATGTTTAAGCTTTTAAACATAAAGTCTTTTTTTTAGAAGGGAGGTGTTACGTACCTACGTATTTAGTAATTAAGTAATAACAATGTACAACGTAGCGCAGGTTTCTAATAGTACTCGACGATATAATTAATAAGGCAATTAGTATATTATAACACGTTAGGGACACTGTAAAAGTATCTCTCTAGGAAAGTCAAACATTCATACGAAGGATACGAGTCGACCAGCATACCAAGTACGAGACCAGGACTTTGTCTCATGACCGAATTTTGCCACTACTATGACCACCCACTCCAAAGGACTCGATCATATAAATACCAGGCCAGGACAAGAGCTCGTCAGACGGTTAGGGATACTCAAGACACTTGGAGGCAGGTCGTAAAACCACGCACAGTCTTAGTATCATTTTGGAGGCAGGTCGTAACACCACTCAAAAACCTAGTAACAATTCAGAGTCAGGTCGTAACACCGCTCACCTCTCTACATAAGCTTTATACATTGTAATTTTGTACTTAAATAAATACTCATAATAACCAAGTGCATCAAGTATTCATTTCCACGTTGATGTATATATCGACATCAGTTGGGACGTAACATTCACAATAAATATTAGCATAATAAAATAACAACTAGACAATGTGACGATTTTAGCCCCCATGGCTTTACAATAATAATAATAATATAACGATACCCGACCGCATATGCATCTGCCGGGAACGCTGCTGCCGCCGCCGCCGATCATAGACCGATATGGCACAAGTTACGCAATCACGGTGACAGTATTATATTATTATCACGCAGCGTACGAGTATACGCCATTGAACTATATAATAACTGGAACGCTCACCGCCCATATGACTAATGTAAATAAAACCGAGCGAGTGTGTTAGAAAGAGATAGCGAATACTTTAGGTATTTCTATCTCTGTCATTATTGATAACACGCCGTACTGTATTCATTTCCAATGTTTACCGGCATAAAATATATTGTGATTTGTGAATTTTGTGATCGACGTCCGTCAATTTCAGTTTTTTGTTCTTTCTGATAGAATTGACGTGTACCTACCTATATTCTAGTCTATAGGTACAATAATAAATAATTTTAAGTGTTAATTTTTTAACTTGAATTATAATAAAGATGTTAGATATGTTACTATTTGTTATATAATAATTTTAAATAAAGTCTTATTGTAAATAAATGTAGTAGGAAAGATGAATGAGGAAGAGAGAGAGAGTAAAATATGGACGAGATAATAGCAAGAAAATAGCAGGTGTGAGTAAAGGAGAGATTAGGACAGGGCTATTTGGAGGATTAGGACAGGGCTATTTGGAGGATTAGGACCCCAAATAGTTGGGAGAGTAGGGCGATAAACAAGAAAAAAATTGTTATTTTGTTTCAATAAAATTTAAATTGTTTATTATATTACAGGAAAAATGTCAGGATGAAGATACAAATCCTTAGAGGCAGTGCTAAACCTAGAAATCAGGAAAGAAGAGGAAGAAGTAATGTATTATATGTTTCAATCAAATTTAAATTGTATTTTATGTTACAGGAAGGAAGAAGAATATACAAATCCTTCCAGGCAGTGTGGAACATAGAATACAATTTTGGGGAGGTTTTGTATCATAAATACCAGGGGCAAAACTAGGAGGGAGGTTGTGACTCCCTGACATTTTTATATATGAGCCTAAATTATTTTCTAACATGCATCATCTATAAATAAATGCTAAATAATTTAATTTGTAATTTTAAGATTTTAATCATAAACCCGACTTAACCACAATCCCTCTTCAGCACCAAACACCTGCCGAAAATGAATTTTTTTCAAATTCTTTATCTCCCCCCCCCCCCCAGTACAGCAAATATTTTATATAATATTATTAATTATTACATTTAAAATTTTTTCATAAAAACTAATACATTTTGAATGGAAAAACAAATATACATTTAGGTATTTCATATTTTAGACAATAATTGTATTTCATTCTGTTTCTGTATATTACATTTTTTAAATAAATAAATAAGTAAATAATTTAAATATATCAACAACAGAGTTTTATTGCTAAAAAAATATTAATTGGTTGTCAATTTATCAAGCGGACAGTTTAATTTCCGAATGCAGGTAAGATTTAATGCTAATTAATCCAAATATGCATCGTATTATATGTATATATACGTATATTTATATTGAAAATAAATATCTCGTAGTTCAATAATTATGATTCAAGCGTCAAGCCGCATAAATAGCGATATAAAATAAAATTGTGCTTTGGCGCCGTATGTTAAACAAGGATAGATACTCCTAATATATACGCTATCTCTTTTTAACATCCTCGCTCGGGCCACACTGCGTGGTGAGCGTTCCAGTTATTATATAGTTCAATGGTATACGCCCGCACACCACTATAATTATATTGTAATCCGTGTCACTCACCGCCGTGGTAACAATACCGTAAAATCGTTAACCCTTAACGCGGCACAATAATAGTAAAAAGACAGATTTACACTTGTCGCGACACTAGAACGATTAACGTAAAGTTTACGATAATAAGGCCGGCGATCATCGATACCTGTCACGCACGACCGCACCAGGTGTGTTACGTATAAACGCAACGGCCGAACTGGTTGGCGGCTATAATATTTAATAATTATAATAATTATTATGATATCACCACAGCTGCGACGTACGCGGCGGCGGTGGTGGTGGATTGTAGTATCCCTCGCACGGTCGTCGTTATCATCGTGCTGGCTTATACACATATCGGCACATATTGGTCCGAACAAGATTAGTGTATTGTATTAAATCCAACAATCCTAGCCCTGAGTATTTAAGAGGAAAACATTCTAACCGTGGAAACAAAATCCCAGACAGTATTTTAAAGCAACTCGATGACCATATTAGAAGCTTCCCGAATAATCAAAGTCACTATAGCAGAGAGTCCAATGGAAATGTTACATACTTATCACCAGATTTAAATAAAAAAATTATGCACAACCTTTATTTGGAAAAATATGAAACAGAAGCGTACAAAAAAATACAAGACGGAGAAGTGAATGTAGTACCTATCGTATCATATGATTTTTTTTAGTCGCTACTTTTCATTAAATTTTAACATGTCATTTGGTCACCCTAGAACAGATACATGTCAGTTATGTGACATGCTTAAAAATCAAATTGATTTTGAAACTGATGAAGGGATAAAGTCAAATTTGGTTAGTGAAAAAGCATTACATATTGAAAAAGCTGAACTATTTTATGAAGATTTAAAAAAATATCAAATCATATCCAAAGTGTTGGAAAATAAGTGTGAAGAGTTGGCATTTGACTATCAGCAAAACATGCCTCTACCTCATGCCCCAGCTGGTGATGTGTTTTACCAACGCCAGCTCTGGGTATATAATTTTTGTATTTTTTCTGGCAGAACTGGTAAATCTTATTTTTACATGGATAACGAGACAGTAGGTAAAAAAGGGAAAAATGAAGTAATGAGTTTTATAGAACACTTTTATACCAATAACTTGGATCAAGGAGTTGAAACAATTTACATGTTTTCTGATAATTGCAGTGCACAGAACAAGAACCATTTCCTAGTTCAATATTTATATACTGTGGCAAAAACAAAGAAACATGGAATTTCAAAAATTATTCATCGTTATTGTTGCGTCCCAACTGACGTCGATATATACATCAACGTGGAAATGAATACTTGATGCACTTGGTTATTATGAGTATTTATTTAAGTACAAAATTACAATGTATAAAGCTTATGTAGAGAGGTGAGCGGTGTTACGACCTGACTCTGAATTGTTACTAAGATTTTGAGTGGTGTTACGACCTGCCTCCAAAATGATACTAAGACTGTGAGTGGTTTTACGACCTGCCTCCAAGTGTCTTGAGTATCCCTAACCGTCTGACGAGCTCTTGTCCTGGGCTGGTATTTATATGATCGAGTCCTTTGGAGTGGGTGGTCATAGTAGTGGCAAAATTCGGTCATGAGACAGAGTCCTGGTCTCGTACTTGGTATGCTGGTCGACTCGTATCCTTCGTATGAATGTTTGACTTTCCTAGAGAGATACTTTTACAGTGTCCCTAACGAGTTATAATATACTAATTGCCTTATTAATTATATCGTCGAGTACTATTAGAAACCTGCGCTACGTCGTACATTGTTATTATTTAATTACTAAATACGTGGGTACGTAACACCTCCCTTCTAAAAAAAAGACTTTATGTTTAAAAGCTTAAACATAAATCTTTAACATTTTACGGTATTATAACAATTTTACATATATGATACATTGGTTATAAGATAGTGATACATTGTTATATGAAGTAGTGATACTTTGTTACATTTAGAAATCTAGTACATCTGATTATAAAATAGTGATACATTGGGTTAAGCACATAATAATTGTTAGATATTTATACATTTTTTTTTTTTTTTTGTTTTGTTTTACATTTTCCTTCTTATTCTAGTGTTAGTACATGGTGGCTATACATTTGTGGTTAAATACTTAATCTATTATAATTTATACAATTAGACATTATAATTATTACATATTTTATATATTCATCCTATAATCTATTGGTCTTATATGAGTTTGTTTTTTTTTTTTTTATAAAGGGAAAAACTTTTAATTGAAAGCTTAATTACTTTACTAGAGTATGTCCATTCAAATGTGTAGAATCTTATCGACTCCCTGATTTCCCAGTTATAGGTATAGTCTACACTATTGAATTGACACTCTTTGATTACTATGATTATTTTTTTGTATACCTATCTGTTTTACATAGTTTGTATAACTGTATTGGTCCCATATCCCTGATAATATAGTTGAACAAACATTTGGTGATAATTACATCCGCTACTGGGTCGTGGCTATGGGTTATATCATGGTTTATTTTGCATATTAAATCATGGGTTTCCGTTAGATTCAGCATTCTTCCGTTTTTCTGGTAGTAACCTATTTTAGTTGAATATATTAATTTTTTGGTAGGTCCTGTTACATCTAGAAGTTTTAAATTGAAATAATTATCGTCGTTATCACTATATGAAGTGATATCCAACATTTTCTTTACATTTAATTGTAATCGGGTTATTATATTTTTATCGGTTGTCCCGTTGAAAAAAACAATGATTGGTGTTCTTCCGTCGGTATGCAAGTATTGGTTGAGATATATGGTAGACAGAGTTGTCGCCCCCTCGAGCTTTAGACTTGATTCTAACTGCCCCAATAAAGGTATTAACTTCTCTGGCTTGTTCCTAAATATCCTTCCAACACTACGCATTACCTGCTTGATTTCGCGATGCTGTAACATCTTTAATTTATTGGTGGTAGTTAACACGATTGGTTTGCCTTCGAGTTTAACTGGCTTATATTTGTCGAGACTGTTTGATAATGACCCCGATATAAGTAACAGATCCGTCTTATTTATACTAGTGAACTCGAAGTCCACTATTATGAATTTGATGTTGTCACTGTAAAATATATATAACGATTAAATGTGAGACAACTTTATTTAGATAATATTTTTACATTGCGAGATATTAGTATTACTATCTATTAAAATGTAATCCCTTATGTTAGTTTTATTCAGCTGCCTCGGCGGCTTGTATTAATTCGATTATTAAATTTGCCAAATCCAGACATGTGGGTGCGTGTATTTCGCGTACTAAAATTGTTAATCGGAGAGTCATAGTAATTATTTCCATAATTCTATGCATTTCCGCTGTAGTATAAGGTACCGGTAAATGTTCATTGGCTACTCTCATATGGTTTTTTAGACACGTAGGTCCATCACTGTTTATCGTGTACTGGTATACGTGATCGTTGTACCTCAACGAATATTCTAACATCATTAGGTATAATACCCGTCTAGGAATGAATTCCCGTACTGGCATTGTTGTTATGTATTTTATACGTTTTTTTACGCGTTGTATAATAAAAGTAATCTGGATTTTCCGTGTGATTGTCTTATCTGGAACAAGACAAGATACTAACATCGATTGGTTATTAATTATTATATTATTTAGTAATAGGAAAGGTACGTGTTTAATATTGGAACATAATTTTGAACATGAAATTGAGAGTGTGTGTGTACGTGATCTTACTTACAAACGTGTTACTTCGTCCATTTCTCTAGCTGACTGTAGTGACACTAAATGTCGCCTAACTCTATTTACTGATCGATTATTACTCATTTTTCTTTTACATTTTATTATAATTATACCCGATGCTATTATTATTATGAGATAAAACATATAAGTGTGAAAATCGGTTATATCCCTTGTGGTCGTTTTGTCCTTTTCTTCTTGTATTAATTGTTCTATTTCATCAATGGATTTAGAATATTGACTCAAGTCGGTTAGTTTTACTACAGAATTTGTGTGTGTTATGACATTGCTTATTTTCTTTTTTATGGAAATGGGGATTGTCAAATTTGACGTTATGCCTATGTTTGATATAAAATCCTTATAATGTGTCGAATTTAAATGCCTATTCGGTGTTTGCACCATTTGTGGTGTGTATCCCCTGCAGTCCTCGTTTAATTTTAATATTCCTATCCCGCTTAATTGTATATTCATCGCCTGGTCTCGATTCTCGCACGAGATGGCTACATTGTCCGTTGTTTTTATTGTATATATCCATGCGTTCTGATATTTTAGTTTATGATAAATACTACGAGTGATGTCTAGATAATGTATTGGGCACGTGCTAGGTATGCTCGATGGTTTAATAAATAATTCTACTTCACATGGCAGCTCACTGGCTCCTAGTCTTAATGGTTGTGTTTCCGGACATAATGTTCCCATATTAATTTGTCTACACATCAGTAGCTGGCTAAACGATAATGTTAAATAATATTCATGCGTTTTTGAAATGGCTATGTACCCATATTCAGGTATTATGTGCATATAATGATCATTTTTTACTACTGGTAGTGGTATTACGTGGAATAATGTTAAATCAACTGAGTTTATTAGTGGTATTATTATTTCGAATATTAATGTTTCGTTTATGTAAATTATATTTAATTTTGACATTTTACTTAGTTCATATAGCGATATTTGATTTAAATCGAACGGTAAGCTTTGTCCTTTTGGAACGTTCATTGAAATATCTTTTAATTGCTTACGTAATTCCATAGCGGATATTATGCTTGAATGTATTATACCACCTTGTGCGGCTATTATTACTTCGCAAATTGTATCGGTTTCGAAACTTAACTGTTGAAATATTAAATTTATTATATTTATTTGTTCGTTAATATTACTTTTTGCTTCTACGATATCTAAATTGATTACGGTTTGATTTACCGTTGTTGCCATTCGATTGTATAATGTGCTAAGTTTATTTATCTGACCTACCATTTGGGTTGCCTCCTTAAATGTATTTTCGGTTGCTTTCAATATACTAGTTTGTTTTTCTACTATTTTTAATAAATTATTTCGACTAGTTTGTAATTCCTCGATTTGTTTATCATATGTTTCTGCGTCAGTATCGTCTAATGTACCGAATAATGTTTTTTGTATTCGACCTACTAAATTTACTAAACCCCTTCTTACCCGGGTAATTGTATCTGTTTCATCTATAGATTGTAACATATAAACTCGTTTCCTCGTCACTTCCTGTTCAAGGCTGATGGACGCAATCTTAAAATTTTCACAAAGTGTTTTAAACATGCCTTCGTATACTATTGTTAAATCGTCACATAATTTTATAGTTTTATCGTAAAAATACATAGTTTCCTTTGTACGTTGATTAAAGTTATCTAATTTTACATATATTATCAATTTCCAATCAGAATTTGTTAATCGAAGTGGTCCCTGATTTTCAAAGTACATCCCATTTTCTTGGGACAGTTTCGAAGTTTGATACGGCTTTGGTTGTGCCAATGCAACTTGGAGCATGACGATCGTCATCATGATCCTAAAAAGTTTTCTTATTAATTAATTACATATTCGTATTTTATTCATTTTTTTTTTTTTTTTTTAACTTAGATTCTCGTGGAATTTTTTCACGTGGTTTTTATGCACCGTGACGTGTCTTTTCCCGCGCATTATTACTATATTTTCTTTGTCTAATACATCGGTTACTTCATAGGGGCCTGTCCATAATGGATTTAGTTTATTCTTTTGCGCGCGTTCCCTTAATAAAATTTGATCTTTTACGTGTATTTCTATGGGGTTTTTATTGCTATCATAATTCTCTTTGGATTTTATTTTACATTTTATTAGCCTTTCTCTTGCTATTTTATGAGCCTCCTGCATTTTCTGTTTTAAATCAAAATAGTAATTGTCATAATTATATCTAGGTTCAGGTTCTCGTGATAGCTTAATTGGTATCTCTAAATGTTTACCGTATAGTAGAGAATATGGTTGATAACCCGTTGATGTGTGCTCCGTAGTATTATAAACGAAAAATGCGTAGGGCAAGTACTCATCCCAATTGTTTAATTTCTTATCGACATAATGTCTAAGGTAGTCTGATAATGTCCTATGTGATCTCTCCAAGGCTCCATTTGCCTCCGGGCGATAAGAACTTGTGTTTATTTTATTTATTTGCAATAATTTGCATACCTCGGTAAATATTTTACTTAAGAAATCGGTTCCCTGATCGGTTAATATGGTTTGTGGTATACCGTGTGTGCATACAAAATGTGTTACGAATGCTTCGGCTATAGTATTAGCTTGGTGATTTGGGAGGGG